CTGTAATATGCCTGCAACTCAAGTTATTTTCCCTTACTTCCTTTATACTGGTAGAGAAGAGGAAGAGTTGCAGGAAATTGTGCCAAATGTTTTGTGCCCACAATATGTCCTGAGTGTGAGTGTCCTCCCTCAGATACAAGCCATGGATGCCAGAAGGTAGAGAATCACATCTCCAGGCAATGGAGCATTTCTGAAAGATCTAATTGAGAAGTGCAATGGTCAGATCACTCAAATTAGCTTTTGAAATATGGACCCCAGAGTGTGGAGTCTAGAGAACAAATTAAGACTTAGAATAGCATATTTTAGGGGTATTATGAGGCAATTTGAAGTATGACTTAATTGTAGGAGAGGTAATTTAAGAGCAAAATAAATCAATAAAATTCATGCCAACCATCAGCTTTTTGTTTATCCAATTAGTGTGAAAATTTATCCCATACCAAACCTCTTAAAGAGTAAACTGAGATGAAACCAAATAGAGTTCTAGTTTGGACATGCACAAGGCACCATGGGCATCTCCCAGTCATGCAGAGCATGCAGAAAGAACAGAACAGCCCTGTCCCTGTGTGTACACAGCCAAATCTTTAGCAAGAAGGAAAATCACAGCTGCAAAAGCAAACAGACTGGTTGCCAGATGGGAGGTACAATGGCCAAGAGATACAGCAAGCTCAGCATTAGTGAAGGAACTGGCCCAACAAATAGAACACACTGGAGAAAAACCCAGGTGTCCTGTCTTACCCTCCCAGTGAGGCAAACAAGACAGCACACAGGCAGGTGAAAGGTTATTTGGAAGCAAGTTGGGGCAGCAATGGACTGACTAGTGTAAAGATCCAGGTTCCTATTTCAGGAAGAATGACCAGCAAATGCCACATAGGGTCAGAGCCTAGTGCCATGCTGAGTTCAGGGTCAATGTCCAGTTCAAAAAATGGTACTGTGCCTTTGGCAAGAAAACTAGTGAGCAGATAGAAGCCAGACCTATGTGTTAGGAAAACAAGGGCCAAGGGAAGAATAGTCATCACAAGGGGAAATACGAGTGTCGGGGCATGTTTTTGGACCATCAAATCCTAGTCAAGATGACTGACCATCAAGTCCTTACTGTGTCACTGAAGTAGTAGATCTACTACTGAGTTGGGCTGGATTCAGGAACTTTGGAGGGGCAAGTGAAAATGAGGGGTATCAGTGACACAAAAGAAAGCAACTGGACAATATAAAGGCTTGAAAATGTTTGAGTTCCATCCACCCTATGATGGATGTACTCATGGGAAAGAAATGGTTATCACTGAATTATCCACTTGGAAGTCTCAGGGATGATGTTAACTATGGCTCTCAGTTATACCAGCATTTGTGGAGCTCCTACCACATTCATAGATCCACTTTGGGACATACAAAGATGCTAAAGACATAATCTCTGTCTTCAAATATTCTGCAGGAAAATATCCATGATGGAAGACACAAAAATAACTATGTGAGCAGTCCTAGCCAAATGCTGTAGATCACAGTAGAAAAATGAAGAACAGTAAGAACCAAAAAATCTCATAAGCTTCTTGAGAGGAATCCATGGCTATTTTTGCCTAAACAGCGTAACTGTAGCCATTGCTCTGTCAGAGATTTCAGTTGCTTCTGGGTGGTTCCAGCTGTCTCTGACACCAGGGGTAAAATCATAACCATTATTATCTCCATGTTTATCTCCACTATCTGAGTCTTGGATGTTGTGGTCTTACAAGAGAAGGAGCCGAGGCTTCTGAATACAAGGACTGAAAATCTTTAACTCTGTCACTTAATAAATAGCTGTGGCCCACATTTTCTAACCTGCATGAACTTCAGTTTTAATCTTCATAAAATGAGATGAAGGCAACACGCTTCACAGAGTTATTGTGAGGATTAGGTAAAATAATGTGCATGAGTAAGTTTTGTAAACTTTAAAGAACTGGAAAAACATGTATTATTTTAGTGGTGTTCTATACTTGAGCCTCAATTGAGGTTCCAGCCATGCCTGGAAGTGTTTGATGAACTGGTATGTAGGGATTGTGAGAGGCACACCATGAGGGTGGAAAAGTGCTTTTGTTCACATGTGGGGAAAACAAAAAACAAAAGACCTGTAGTCAGCATGTGGGAGGCTGTGGGAGGCCTCAGATATCTATGCCCAGCCCAACCCACTGCCAGGCATCAGAACTTTAAGAAGCCCCATGAAGAACTGAAGGAGTTGTTTTCTTAAGGGGACCTTACCACTGCTGCTTTAGGATCTGATGACAAACCAAGATGCATAAGGAAGTGACAATGGTGCTCTTCCCAGCACAAGGAGAACTCCAAAGCAAAGCTGCCGCTTACCCATCTGGAGAAGTTCCTCATGGAAGAAAAGGTTTTGGTGCAGACATCACATACAGCATCTGCTCTCCTTCACTTTCAAGATGTCAGTGGACATGGAGCATCGCCTGAATAGGAGAAGAGAGGAACAATAAAAGTAGTATTTGTGAGTGGCTGTGAGGTGCTTCTGGGGATGAAACCTTAGAGACGAGTAATGATAGATCATTGTCAAAAATATGACCCCAACAGAGCTACGCCAGGTGGGTGAGCACTGAAGAAACACAAGTCATATTATTATTCAGCCAGGATGAGTGTTAGATGCCTTGAAAGTTCACATAGGATCTGCCTATGTTTCCAGTCATTTTAATCACTTCATTTTTTTTGAGGAACCCGAGAAAAGAGATGTGGTTCCCAGCAAGGAAACAACCCTGAGAGTGATCCAAGGGACTGGAAAGTACCTGCTGTGTACCCTCAACAAATGCTGCTCATGAAGTGTCCAAGAAATAGCTCTCATAAGTCTCATCTTGATGTATTCCAAGTTTGGGAAAGCCAAGGGGAAGACAAAAGAGATTGCAACATGGGTGCTGCCGAGAGCCAGGGAAGGAGTGACAAGGATACACCAGCAAGACCATGCTAAAGTAGTGCTTTTAAGTGGAAACAGGGGCAAAGATGAACAAGATACAACAAAACACCCACTCTTCTCTAAAGACAGGACCAGATCTGGCCTAGGGTGGAAAGGGTAGATTTTTTTCTCTTTCCCTGCAACTCATCTCCATTATGTTTAGAATTCTGGCCCAAGTTTCACATGTGCCTGGCATTATTATGTACACCACACAAACACCTGTATTCACTCAACAAAAAGGGAGTAAATAATTCATCTGAAGTCTGCTAAGGCAGCTCCCTGGCATTGCAGTGCTCTCTGAGGTTGAAAGTTCACTCCTGCCAGGCAAGATGGAGCCTGGCAGACAATAGACATCTTCTTAGCAATTTGGAACTTCTGCACAGACTTCAGCTCTGACCAATCCAGCAATGTCCTGGGCACCTTTGGAGAGCCTTAGCTCAGCCTCATCTGGAAAATCCTGCCTCTGACTGCATCTGATGCCCATCTCCCCAGTCCACACTGGGTGCCAGCCATGGTTTCCAGGGAAAGAGAGTTGGCCACTGACTGCCAAAAAAGAGCTGTTTTATGGCTGGCTGGGTAAGAGGGCAATGGGCCCATACGTTCCAAAATGGGCAGAGTGCTGCCTGGTGAGTGGGCAGGTATTTGGAGAATGGTCCTAGACATGGTGCTATTTCCTATTTTAAATTGTAAGAAGCTCACCAGAAAAGAACAGAAGAAAAGAAGAATAGCTCATTTTCTCAGGGTTTAGCATGTGCCAGGAAGTGTGTAAAGGGCGTTTCAGGGACAGAGAACCACAGCAGGCCCAAAGTCCTAGAAATGTGAAAATGTTTGATACTTTGCCTACAAAAGCAATTCTTAGTAGATATTGTGAAGTATGCTGCAAGAGTCGTCAAAAAAAAAAGAGTAGAAAGAGAAATTTGAGCTGAAGAAGGCTTGAAACTTTTAAAAACATATATTGGCTATGTTTTATGTCCCTCAAGGCTTCATGTGCTCATAGGTGTGGTTTTCAGGAGCGATTGGATTATGAAGATTTATAGCTGACTTGCTATTGGGAGATGGGATATGGTCAGAAGAAGTGGGTCACTGGGGGCATGGTTTGGGTCTATGCTTCCCTACTCCTCCCCTGATCTCTTTCTCTTTTTTTCCCTTTTGTGTTCCCTGTCTGCCATTCCAGGATCAAATCTTCTCTTTCATCTCCTTCCGCCATGCCACCCTGCTATGGAGCCAGCTGAATATGGACTGAAGGCACTACAAACTTTCCTCCTTTAACTTGTGAGTGTTGGATATTGTGTCACAGTGACAAGAAAGTGCCTGAAACAATACTTATCTATAATCAATATGTGAATATTGGTTGAGTAGTCTGGTGATTCTGTTTTATTCTCTGTATATCTCTTTTCATTTTTTCCGTCCACCAAACAAAAAAAAAAGATGTCGAGGAGGGATGTAGATCGGAATAGAAAATGTGCACTTGATTCTGCAGGCGCTGAGCAGCCCCTTAAAATGCTTAAGCAGAAGGTGAAGGTAGGCATGTGCGAGCCACCAGCAGCTGCTTAGGAAAGGCCCTCCGTGACTCATGTGCTTCTCGCTTCCCCAGGATCATCATCCTTGTGCCACTTGGAAGGATTAGACTTCTGAGGCCGTTAGATGAGAAACGGTCAGTAAGAAGCACAGAGGTACAGTTAATGTGAGTACATTTCTCTGCCCACTCAGAGCCCCCTAGAACTTGACAGCAGGCACAAAACAACCTGGCTCTGCCCCAAGCACAAACATAAGGGAGAAAAGGACAGGTGGCGAAGCCCTCACAAAAGCTGGGGAAAAAGGCACTTTTTCCCCCTACAATGCAGGAGCTTTTATTACTAGAAAATAAAATGCTGTCTGAGCAAATGCCAGGAAAACGATTAAGGGCTCAATTTAGATCAGGAGGCTTGGCTGGGCACTGCTGAGCGGGAAGCTGAACAATGTCAGGCTTACTTTTTGTGCACATCACGTTTGGGGTGAGTGGCCCGAGCCCCAGCCAGGCCTCTTGCCGCCAGTTTTGCAGAATTATAGTTAAGCTTTGGTCAGTTGGTTTCAGTTAGAAGGATTGTCTGGAAGGAAGGATAAAAGGTTCTTGCTTGCTGACCAGCTATTGCCTCTGAGGACTAAGAGATGCAGCCAGGATGGTGCCAGGCCCTGCGGAAACATTTCTTCCTTGTGGTTCTCAGGCTCCCAGCCCGACCCAGGAATGATATGAGACAGGGAGGACAGAGGAGGGGGGCTGGCTTGAGAGTTGGACAAGCCCGGGTTGGAGCCCTGTTCTACTGCCCATGGACTCTCTAAGCAAGATCTGAACTTCTCTAAGTGCCATTGTTTTCATCTACTAAGCAGAGATGATAAATGTATATGATCAATAATCTGAGAAGCTATCTGGAATAAATGATTGGAATAAAATAACATGCAAAGTACCAGTAAGGTAAGCACTTAGCAGCTGATAGCTTATTCCTTTCTCTTTTTATCTCCAGAGTCTCCTAAATCAAACGATTGCAGTATAGTAGGAAAGAAACGATGAAAGATCTGGAAACTAATGTTCTTGCCTTGGTGTGACCTTGAGAAAGTCTCACTTTCTTCTCTCTCTCTCTCTGTCTCTCTATCTAGTCTCTGTCTGTTTCTCTCCTCCTTTCATGTTCCACCACTAAAAATGTAGGTAATAGATTAAATAATCTCTAAGGGTCCTAACCCTAACTCTAACTTTCAAAATTAGTGGTAGTTACAGCCACTGAGCAGTTGCTTTGGCATGTCGCTTTGTCTTATAAAATATTCTTATCCCTCTTCTACAAGTGAAGAAAATGAGGTTCAAGAGACTTAGAGTTGTGTCCCAAAATGCAGAGCTACTAAGGGCAGGTTGGAAGGTGTTTGCCGTGTCTTAATTTTTAAAAACTAATTAATTGGGTTCCAAATCATTTTATTAAATAGATAATAAAATCAAACTGCTCTATAGGTTCTAGGTCAGGTTTAAGAATACTCAAGAATACTGGTGAGTGTGAAATGAGTCCCACAGAGGAGAGAATCTCCTTGGATCAGGAGGTGGGAAGTAGACAGTGCAAATGGTCATCCCCAGGGCTTTCAACTGGGGCAGAGATGGCCCTGCACTGGGAACCCAGTGAGCCAGCAGACGCAGCTGCCAGCCAAGTGAGCAATCAGTCAGCGCCTAGGGATTTAGCACAAGCAATGTTAGAAGATGCTTCTCAGCAGCCAAGCAGGGCTTCAAACAGAAATGCAGGCCATTTGGACTGAACTGCTATGGAGAAAATGGGGGAAAGGGAGAACTGTGACTCAGCAGCCAGCTGCTGCCACTGAAGATACAAGGTTTAAGTCTGATTAGTAATAATGAGGCTCAGAAAGAAATATTAAAACCCAGCATTTATGCCATTGGAGTCCAGGACTGGGCAAGTGAATACTGGCTAAGCCTCATATCTGTGACTATTGTTCTATGACAACAGGACTTTAAAACAAAAAGATGTATTATTTCCCATCATTTTTAGGTTGGCTGGGCTCATACGGGCAGATCTTCAGCTCCATGTGAGGCCAACTGGGTTGATCATGCGGCTGCATTCAGCTAGGAGCTCAACTGAGGCCAGAACATGAAGAAGACTTCATTTAAATGTCTGGTCGTGGGTGCCAACTATCAGCTGGGACAGATCTGTGCTCTGTCTCCTGGTCTCCATCTTCCAGGACCTCTCTCCATATGGTCTCTCCATTCATATATGGACGTGTTGACATGACAAGTGGCTTTGGAGAGGGAGTGTTGCTTTCAAAAGGAAAGAAATCAGAATCAGGTCAATGGAGAAACTGCATTTCTTGATAACAACAATAAACAATTTGAAACTAAAGTTTAAAAAATAGTATAATTGATGATTCCAAAGCATTAAACACTTACGTGTAAGTTAAAAACTACAAAACACCGATGAAGGAAATTGCAAAAGAATTTAGTAAATAAAAAGATATGCGGGCTGGGGATTTATCTCAGTGGCAGAAGCGCCAGCCTGGCATGCGTGAGGTCATGAGTTTGATCCCCAGTACCAAAATAAAATAAAATAAAATAAAATAAAAATTTAAAAAAGATATGCTACAAAATATTGATGAAAGAAATTTTAAAAGTATTAAATAAATGAAAGGATACACCATTTTTATAGATTGGAAGACAACATTGTAATATATCAGTTCTCCCCAAGTTGATCTGTAGATTTATGAAAATCTAAATATTATTCCAATCAAGAGAGTAAGTTTTATAGATATTTATAAGTTGATTCTTTAAAAGGGCAAAATAGATTATCCAAAGCAACTTTGATTAGGAGCCACAAATGAGTGGTTGAACAAACTCTAGTACATGCATATAATAAGTTAGTATAAACAATAAAGATGAACAAAATATCACAACTTGAATGAGCCTCCAAAGCATTTATTATTCTAAGTGAAAGTTATGCTTAATTTTATAGATCTATGGTCCCATTTATAGGTCATTCTAGACCAAGCAAAAATACAGGAACTTTTACTATGATCAAGACAAGATAGTACTGGGTATAAGATAAATAAATAGGTCACTGGAACAGAATAAAGAAGCCAAATGCGGACCTACAAACATATGGTTAAATGATTTTTGACGATGATACAAAGACAATTAAGTGGAAAAAGATAGACTTTTTAGCACATGGTGGTAGGACAATTTGACACATACCTACAAAGATATGAATTTTGACCTTCAATTCACAATTTATACAAAATTTAATAAAATAAATTGTAGACTTAAAAGTAAAATATAAAATTTTTTAAACTTCAGAAAAAAATACTTGAAAATATACTAGAAAATACTAGAAAAAAATACTAGAAAATATTTGTAATCTTAGATTAGGTGGAGAATTTTTAGTAGGATAACAAAATCAAAATGTATTAAAGAAAAATATTAAGTTAACTTGGATTTAATTTTTTCTCTATTAAACACACTCATCATTCTGGAAGAAAATAAAATACAGGGATATAAAATAGATGATTATTTATCAGGAATAAAATGTTAGCCAATGATTTGACTACAAAGAAGTAACATAAAGGGATTTGAAGGAATGAGAAAATACTCTATATTCTGACTATTCTATACAAAATGTGTCAAAATCTTAAGACTTTACAACAAAACATAAATTTTACTGTACTTAAAATTAATGATAAATAACAAATAAAATTCAGCCATGAAAGAAAGAAAGAGAAGGAGAGAAAGCAAAATAGTCAGTATACCTTCAGACTCACCTCAGAGAAGCAAGTATGATTCTTTATAGCAAACAAATATGTTTAAATATTCAACTTCCCTATTAAGTAAAAAATATATAAACTTTTAGTACAATCCAGTAATGGCAAAGGTATAATAAAATAGGCACAATCAATTGCAATGAGTGGGCATGTGAATTGGCACAGCATTTTTGCAAAATAATATGGCATTATGTATCAAAGCTTTAAGTGTTCTTGCCTGCTGGAAAAATAAGCCACTTCTAGGAGCCAATCCTCATGGAATAATCAGAGATTCTTATGAGGATCATTATCTTTTCTGCATGAAATGCTGTTTCCCTCATCACAGGCATAGATGTGCAGCGGGTCCTAAACAAGTGTTGCCAACTCTCTGGATGGCGATTGACTTCCATAAAACATCTGCTTCCAGTCAGGAGCCTGGTAAAAAGAGAAGCCAGCTATGCCCTGGGCCTCAAGATGCTACCTTCTGCATAACAGCATTGCACAATGTCTACCATCACTGGGAGTGATTAAAGCTATAGTTATATTCCTAGTGAGTTATCCAGTGACATCCCTTGCCTGTGCCCTTGGAGACAGCAGGGATCTTCAGCCAGACTGACTGCTTCCTGAGGGGCAAACCCAGGAAACCAGATGGAAGATAATCAGAGGCAAGGAATTTTGCTCAACAGACACTGAAGACCTCAGGAAAGCCAGGGAAGTGGGGATTAAGTGCCACTCAGCCCGAGCCCAGGCCCCAACAAAAGTTGACTTCTTAGGAGTCCAGGGAATTCAGGAAGATGGGTAAGCTTGGCTTAGACAGAAAAGACAGAAAAGAAACATTCCATATAGTAGCCAGAGAGAAAAGGCGGGAGGTAAGAAATGCCAGACACTTGCTACTGAATCAACAATGAGACATGAACACTTCAAGACGGAGAAAGACCCTGACATGAGATTTAGTGTCTAAGCTTTGTCTCCAAGTCCCACCAATAATTTCCACCCCTAAGAACATTTATTTTCTTTGATCTTGGCTAATGTTCCACTTATGTTTAGCTGTTTTAGCCAGATGCTGCAACCCCTCTTCTGAACTCTGCTATTAATAGAACTGTCTCTGCCCTATCTGTGGTGTTCCGCACACCCTCTCAGTCCTGACATTTGAGGTCACCTCCTCTATCCCAACCTCCATCCTACCTGCTGTCTATACAACCCCGTTCCATACATACCCCTCACTTCACAAACTTAGAGGTCACAACAGATTCTGCGTGGGCCTACTTGATAGAACCAGCTAGGTTATTAAGAGAGCAGAAATTTCTTTAGAGGCACAATAGTGTCTCTTGAAAATGGAGGATACAGAATTTTTTCTGTATACTTAATCTAAAAAATAAACCATGATTACGCACTGTGCCAAGTAGTGTACAAGCATTATAGATTATTTTTTAAATTTTTTTTATTTTAAAGATATTAAGACAAAAGAGGACAGAACAAAGTAAATCAGAACAGGTCAATGTAAGCAACACAGCACTTCACAACAAGACAGACCTATATTAACAGTAGCTACCATAATGTCTCATTATTTGAAATAGTGAAGCATACCTTCACATACAATAGAATCAAACATAACAAAATAGTATAAAACCATTCAAGAGAATGAAAGTATTACAGGGCATTCAGAACCAAATAACAGAAAATGAACAATGGCTATTATAATATCTCATTTTCCATAAAAAATTGTTTATACTATCACACATATTAAAATCCAGTAAGATACATGATAGAACCAGTGGAAACAGAAGAACAAACGCATGGTAGTGCTTCAAAGTAAGATGATATTAAATCAGCAATGGCTGCCATAATGTCTTGTTTTCTTCAAAATAGCTGTTCATACCATCACACATAATAAAATCAAACAAAACAGAATAAAACCACTCTAACTAATGAATGAAAACATTATACGGCTTCAAAGAAATGTAATGGGAATCATGATTACCATAAAATCTTATGTATTCTTATCATTCCATACCCTAGGGAGACTATATGGTATTTATACATGTGAGTTTGATTTATTTCATTTATGAGTAGGGTCTCAAGTGGCATCGATTTACTTATAAATATCACAATGTGATCATGCTTTATAGCTGAGTAGTACTCCATTGTATAAAAATACCACAACTTTTTTATCCATTCCTCAGTTGATGGACACTTAGGTTATTTCCATGATTTGGCTGTTACAAATTGTGCTGTTATAACATGGGTGGATATATATCACTGTGGTATGATGTTTTTAGTTCTTCTGAGAATACACCTAAAAGTGGAATAGCTGAGTCAAATGGGACTTCCAATCCCAGGTTTTTAAGTAATCTCCAGACTGACCTCCACAGTGACTGCACCAGTCTGCACTCCCACCAACAGTGCAGGAGAGTTTCTTTTTCCCCACAGCCTCTCCAGAAATTCTTGTTCGTAGTTTTCTTGATCCTGACCATTCTCTCTGGAGTGAGATGGAATCTCAGTGTGGTTTTAATTTGCATTTCTCTAATGACCAATGATGATGGACATTTTTTCATGGATTTATTTTCCATTTGCATTTCTTCATCTGAGAACTGTGTATTCATCTCAGATGCCCATTTTTGGATTGGGTCTTTAAATTTCGGGGGTCTGATGATTTTTTTATTTTTTATATGTTTTAGACAGAAGTCCTTTGTCTGAGAGACAGTTCATTAAAATTTTTTTTCCCGGTTTGTAGGTTTTCTATTTTTTAATTTTTAAAAATTTTATTTAAAGAAAGACTAAAAAAAAACAGAAAATGCATAGAAATAATAGATAATTTCAAAGAAAAAATAAATAGTAAGAAATCACTAGTTGATGATTCCAGATTGTCTTCTTACAAATAGTTATTCAAGATACTAAAGTGGAGCATATAAAGTGGGAATTCAAACAGTGAGATTGCAACCAGTTCTGTTCAACTGTCCAACAAAAACTTAGAAATATGGTTATCAATCCTATACACTTAAACATAAATTCAGTTATCCGTATCTTCAATTATGTTGAGATTGAATAAACCCAAGCAGGCTAATATCACTCGGAACAAAGAATAATACTATTGCTGGGTTTCACCTTATGACACTCCAGGATCAGCACTGGGCATTTTAGTGTCTCTTTTTCTTCAAAGTATCTGTTCATTTTATCATGTGTCATAAGATCAGTTCTCATAAACTGTTTATAGATTCTACACATGCATGAGCCTTAACATGTGTTTCTATCATTTCTATATTAGAGGGAGAAACAAAACAAAGCAAGGCAAAACAAAACATATTCCTACAAACACACGAAACAAAATAAACATGTAAGATCGATGTACAAAGAGTTCTACCATGGTTCCTGTGTTGTCTCTTGTTATCTCCAATAGAATTGGCTATATCATCAGACATAGATAGTATCACTGAATATATCAGTACATAACAGTATTTTAAAAAAGCACAACTTTGTATATAGTATAGAACTTCAAAAACTGGCAGTTATCAAACCAGAATGTGTATTGTAGAGTCTTATCATCTTCAGTGTAGTTGCCTATACTCTCAGACTTGATACTATCAATCACATCAGTTTTGAATAAAATCTTCTC